TTTCGACCCGTTGGACCGTTGTTTGGGGAGCGGCTGAAGAATCCAGCCGTCAACTTGGCGTCGCCAGAAGAGGTGCTGACAAAAGCCCCGAAAGCATCCCTGGTGACAGACTGTACGAGTGCATTTGATGTCTCCACCAAGACGGCGGTTCCGGCGCGCGCTGAGTTGAGAACCCAACTGGAATGTTTGCTTCTCCGTGAGAGATTGCTTGAGAACTGTCAGATGAGATGGGTGCACAGCAGGGCCATGCTGGCGGATTGTCTAACCAAGGCTATGGATAGTTCGGCTTGATGACGTACTGGCAGTAGCCTTAGGGCGGGCAAGTATGCGCTGTTTGACGAGGTCACAGACAATGCCTGCAATGGCTTACGAACACCAGCCATCAGGCAAGTTCCGTTTTCGAGTGAATCTTTCTTAAATTTTTGATTTTAGACCAGTGGAATCAGCAGATAGTGCAGGCCGCATGTTCACTCGAAACCTCTTGTGCCCTCGCCGCACACCCGATCAAGCACGCAGAGGGAGGGTGTGGTCAGTGCTGAGCCTGAAAAGGTGGGAGTCCGTTGCAGGGTAGGGTTACGGTCAAGGACAGGGTCCCTTAGAGTTTCACAGGACAGGGTCCTTTTCTCAGGTCCTTTCGGAACGGGGTTCCTTTCGTTCAACAAGCCGGGCATAGGTAGGGGCAGCTTCATAGATGATGCTACAAGTCGTGGCAGCATCACGGGCCTATATAAAAGGACACTCTGGCCCTGTTGCAACTAGGTGTAGACTGCATGGCGTCGGGTCGTGGCTGTCACGCCTCCATGTCTGAAAGTCATTCTGGCGGTATGGCTGCGTTTCGCGAAGTGCTTTCGGCCGCGGACTGCACTCCTATGCGGCCATCATAAAAATTCCCTTTCCCTGTTCAAGTCGGAGTTCTTTCGACCTCCCTCCCGCGCCATTAAACGGCTTTTGAAGTCCCAGCCACCCACGGTCGACAGCATGCCCTGGGCGGCTCAGCCAAATTAGCAGCACGAGAAAATTCCATGCCCCCGTTTTCTCGAGCAAAGCAAATTCCCTCCTCCCTGAAGAGCGTCTAGGGTGTTTCAGGCCACCCTAAACCAAATCATGAGTAGAATCTCCCGAAACTCCTCACCCCGGCATCTTGAGCAATAATTTTGCTGGCAATGTCTACTCTTTGCATGTGCTATTGACGCTTTGCCCTGCGGGTTCCATCCCCCCTTCGCTCATCCGCAAATGAGCTTCTGCGCGTCAGGCAGCCCCCCAAAACTCATCATGATACGCGCTTTGGTGAGAACGGACCCCGGGCAAGTCTTGTTACTCATCGAAAATGCTGCAAGGTAAAACATGGACGTCACCATGCCAATGGTGTCCGGCTCCAAGTAGCACTGCACAAGCCAATCGTTCCTGCGGTAAGAGCTGCAGCCCTTAAGGCGCCTTGCTGGCGTGCGTTCTTACCCCACCCCCCACTCTGTTTGTGAGTGTAGGGGCGGGTAAGGGGTGGGCACAAGTAATCAGTGGGCACAAGCAAAAAGGTCGTTCAGCATGACCAAGTAATGAGGTCTCTTGCAGTTTCATTTGTTTTTGTAGCTTCCCACCACCCTGAGGGAAGCTGCGTGCCAAGCAGAATTTGCCCTCCCTCCCAGCCCCAAACCCAGCATCACGAGCAGGTCTGAACTCCCTTCAAGGGCTGCTCGCCTTTGGGCCTTCCTTTGGAGAACAAGCCGGTTTGCAGCGAAATTGTCTTCAGCACGGAATGCGCATGCGGAAGTCGGATGAGAGCAGTCTACAAGCTAGTCCTGGGTCATCGAACCTGTCGCGCTGCTCCGTCCGGTAGTGAGTTTCAGGCTTGAAGGCTTGCCTAGGTGACAGAGTGCATGTCACCCAAGCTGTCAGACTTACACGTCTGCATGAAGGCCAAGAGCATAGCTGCCGGAGCTCGACAACACTCATGTTCTTGTCCGGAGCATCGCTAGTGGCATATACCACCTCCGCCATGCACAGCTGAAAATGACGATGTCCGTTGCTGCAGCAGTGGCCTCTGGATCCACGTAGGTTGTGTGGGTTACAGATGCGTCCCGGATGCCCTCATCCCACTTTTGGCCTGTCGTGCGGCAGCTTGCGGGGCACGCGAGCTGGGCGCATCTCTGCAGATGGACAAATGCGCAGGATAGCTTGGTCCGCCACAACCGATGGCAAAGTGAGTAGCTTCATGCAGCCTACAAATGCCCAGGTACTTACAAATCTTTGGAGCTTTCTGAGCTTTTCATAGAAATCCAAGTTTGAAAGCAGAAGCAACGCTGGATACATGCCTCTTCAGTTGGGAGGCTTTTTTGCTACAAATCACGTCCTGGGAAGTTGCACCCAACCTTGGTAAGACTGAGGATGCAACGCCCGGAGCAAGAAGAGACGCGTGAAGCTGTCTCAGCACTGAGCCCTTTGAAGAAGCCCTCGTACTGATTTTCAGCATGTTGCGAAGGCCTCGTTTGAGACACCTTGTACAGGGAACCAGCTTTAAAAATGGCAGTCTCCATTTTCCATCATCCCTATATAATCCCTTTTGCATACCCCTATGTTCCCTTATTCCCATTAGGTTTGACTCGCAACCCAAGGACAGCATGAAGCTTTAGAGACTTTAGAGGAAGGTGAGGCCTGCACTGATGCCTCAACTGGCATCCGCCCTGGTATTGTTGCTGTGTGAAGAACCGCTTGGTTTGCCGGGTGTGCGTGTTGTCCCACTTTTTACGTGATGTTGCTGTGCCTCATTCATCACCACCATCCTGAAACAGAAGCTGCTGCCAGAAATCAGGCATGGCATCTCACCACCAAGACCACTTGCTTAGGGGCTGCAAGAAGCTCCTAACCTCGTCAACTCGATGTCTTTTAGCATGCATGGCACCTGAGGCTCCCAATAAGGGCTGACGAAAGGCGTTCGGGGGCGCACGTCATGCCGTCCAATGCCGGAGAGAGAGAAGAGTCATGTAGATGAGCAGCTTCGCTGGCCCTGAATTCCTGTGAGACGGCGTTGGCGGCTTCGCCGCACCACCATGCACATTATCAACGGCAGGCCTTTGCTGCACTACTGGATCTGGTTTGCTCATCACGCAAGCATTACATACATCCACGCTATCAGGGCAGGCCACAACCACATCCTTGCAGCCGCCGAGCACGGTCAGCATTTCAACTTGCTGGCTGGCATGGCCTTCGGCTGCATGAGGATACTGTCGGTCTGAGTAGGTTAGGTAGGTCACCTCAGCGCACCAACAAAGGCAAACCTGGGTAAACCCAACAGCTCATGCATGATGTTAGATGCAACATGGAAAGGGCGCGGCCTATTTGAAAGCCAGTGAAGGCAAAGCCCGTGATTACCTAAGTATTGTACACGCACACCGTAGAAGGTCATGAGCTAAGGCTACACGGCAGGCACTGGGAAGCCTGCAGAGGAATGCCGAGCATCGTCACCTCAGCCGGTGAGCTTCAACTTTACCCGTCACCTTGCCTGTAGCTGGTGATACATCGCAGAATTCGGAAGCAAATCCATTTCTCACCCGCGTTCTTCCTGCAACATGGCCACAGTAGACACCAGAGCAGAGCGAAACTGTCCAAATGTTCCTTGGTGAACAAGATAGGTATGATCTGCTGTGCCAGACCCAGCTTTGCTCAAAAATGCACCAGAAATTGCCTTCAAGGTTCTGAACAGGATCCACACTTGGCATTTGGAACGGAAACTCGAACCTCGCAGTTAAGACTCTGCCTGCGCGTCCACGCTATGAAAAAGTGTGGCTGAGGTCCAAACCCATACCCGCCCGTAGCGACAGTAGCCTGCAAGCAATATGGGATAACTTCAACTGATGTCCTGTTCCAGCAACTTGGAAGGGCAAACCAACATACTGATCTACTGACATGCTAAGTCCTGAACTCCAGACTCTAACAGAACCTTAGCACTAGCAGGCAGGGCGGTGCCGAATTCTAGAAATATGCAAAGCTGCGGAGGTCCATCCGAGCGGCTTTCAAGCTGTTGGCTGCCCGCGTCTGCACAAGACCACAGGAGTTCCAGTAGCGTGAAAATCAGATTCACCCATACATGGATGCAGCTCACGCTAATGACATTGATGCGTGCTTGCAAAGAGCGACCGTGTTAGCGAAAAGCGCCTGTGGCTGATCCATCGGAAATGCACTGGCAGCACCTCTTTGAATGACGCGGATGTCGTCGACAGCCCTGTGCACGAATGGCACCAGTGTGGCTTCCGAGAAATCTTGACAAATGGGACTGTTTCCAGGATGGGGCTGTGCCGTGAGGCGTGAGAATCGACTAAGACTCTCGCACAAGCTGGTGGCTGTAGCCGAAGGGCATCTGGATCAGGATTGCTCCTTAAAGTCAAAACACCGAATAGGTGTGTTGGCAACATCTGGGAACCCATGAGCATGCAGGCGGCTTTTATCCGAGCAGGCCATCGGAGCTTGCAGGACCATCATCTGCCGCAATGCATCAGTAGGCACGTCCAATTACGCTTGGGATCGCGCAGCAAATGGCGAGATGCTTCGTTCTCCGGGAGCGAGCATGATCTGCTACATGGAGCGCTCTGCGCCGCCACGCTTGCGATTTCGAAGAGCTTCCCAGGTCGAGTGCTTGCATCCGTGCGTTGAGAACAGCAAGTACAGTAGATGTTGATCCACGTCGTTACCTGAGCATACAAGCTCTGAAAAAAAAAACATGATTCCTGACTGAGTCGCAAGGAGTGCCCGAGAGTCGGACTGTGGTTGGACGATGAATCCCTCCAGTATGCCTGGAATGAGAGCCGCAGCCCCCTCACCATTCACAACTTCTGTCTCTGGAAGAACAGCGGTGAGGGTGTACAAGTTGCCTTGGTAGTAGCTGCTTTTAAAACATTGGAGCGGAAACAGTGATATCCCTGCTTGTATGCATTTGCAAGAGACGACGAGATGCGGTTGCCACGCCGGTCTGCAGGTCCCAAGCTGCAACTGCTGAAGCTCCGCAGCTGCGCACCAGACGGGAAACTAGTGCGCCACTGGTATTCCTTTCATCAATTGCAGCCACACAGTGGAGTCGGACATAGGTTTGAACACCGTCTAGGGTTGCCGTTGACTTGAGAGCCACGGGCCAGGACGAAAGCTTGACAGCGGACAGGGCTGGGGACTCAGGTCTGGAGACATAACGATGTTGCAAGCAGTACTGGCAAGCTGTGTTTTTTGCACGCTTGCCGGCGGCAAGGCGTCTGCCCATGATGAGCTCGAGACCAACCCAGAAACCCTCCAGCATCCCACAAGATCGCGCCAAGATCCTCCGGAAATGCACCCAAGATCCCGCCAAAACTGCTGCAAGGATCTAGCCCGAAAAGGCATCCCGCGCCGCCACCCGAAAATCCGCCCTGCGGTTCAGGGCAGCTGCAAAAACCAGCCAAAATTAGCACCACCCTGCACCCAACCCGCCCCTTCCCGGAACCCCTTCCCCATGATCCTACGCTCACTCCGTGAGGTACTAAACGAAGCTCCCACACGGGGAGCTTTCGTGATTCTTGCAAAGCAGCTTTGAATACATTGGTTTGGGACCCACCAACTTTACTATCGATCTGGACTGTCTGCGTCCACGTGTCGTAGTAGGTATTCCCAGCTCGCTCGACCTGATGTTCTGGATCACACAGACGGTTGGACGGGCAGCTGGGACAACGGAGTGGTGTCAAATGCGGGCCTTCACAGCCTTCAGGGCTTCTGCTGTCTTCTTGCTCCCTTCTGGAGCAATTGTCTCTTTCAAAAGCCTTGTGGTCACAAGCTTCATCCAGGCAGTGCAAACCACTCATGCGGAACTCAGCCTCTCAAGTGACGCTTCGGGATCTCCAAGGATCCTAAGCCATGCCAGCAAACATGCTTCCAAACGGAACACTTCAAAAAGGCTGTGTGCATGATACCCGTAGGCAAGGTTCTCTGAGATCTGTTGGGGCTGCCCAGGCGCTTTTGGCGGCAAAGTCTGCTTGACTACCTTAATTCGTAGCAAAAAGACTAGGCCATCCTGCCAGGAAACTCAGAAAGGAAGGAAAAGTCTTGCCTACAGATGCCACAGGATTCGCACTTCTTGCTCCATGCAGGCAGCAAACACAAAGATAGCAGCTACCAGTGGCGAAGGTGCAAACGAGGCAGAGGAAAAGAACAGGCTGGAGCTTCCAGAAAACAATGTGTGAGAGAAGAGAACAACTGAGCAGGCAAGCAGCGCGAAACTTCACATCTGTGGCAGAATCATAAGGCTAGCCGGCCTTTCTGCATCCGAACTTGACAAGAACGTCTACTCACTAATTACATAAAAACTGGCCAGGTCAGGGCTAAGTTCCCAAAGCTTCTGGCAGCAGGCTTTTACATCAGAACTAACTATGCAAGACAAAGTTGCTGATAAATTTTCACGGCTCTTAAGGCCACGTTCACCACCACCCGCTGGCCCCCAAGCCGCATCTGGCCCAACCTGCAAAGTCTCTCAGCTGATTGCAGGCCCCAACTCCTCCGAAGCTTGGAAGCCCAGCTGCTCCCAGGGCTCTTGGAGTGCGAGAGAAGCCTTGCAAAAGCTTCGCTACATTGCAATCTTTCGGGTGCACTGGCTCGATTGTACTGCACAGACCGGGACCTATTCTGGGCCCTCTGTGTGAAGGGCATGTAGCACTGCCCCAAAGCGTTCAAAAGTGGCTGTGCAGGGTCCATGCTGCCAAGATGCCAACTGTGTCCGAGCTCATCTGGCCCGCCTTCAGCAATGCAACTCGTTGATCGAAGAGCCTTATCGGGAGTGTCGGGGCGGTCTGTTCACAGCTGGGTGCATCATGAATCTCCAAATAAATCCAAGAGCCAGGTGCTGGGAAAGCGTGCCTGGTACTGTTCCTCGTAGTACGCCTCACCATCTGTCAATGATCAGGTATGCACCGCATCTCAGGTATTTCTCATGGCCAGTGCCCATGTTTATGGGATCGGCACAGCCTTGAGACCATCGACAGCATAGATGGAGTCCAGGCGCAGTTCGCGTGCCTTGTCAGCTGCTGCTGGCACAAGACCTGGCAACATCTCAAGCCCGACCAAATGGGGCATGCATCATCATCTTGCTGCCAGGAAGCTAAACAGGAGTTCTGTTTGGCCCCACAGGTTGCTGGCAAGCCCAATGACCTTGGATGAGAAATATGTCCTAGTTGTCTCTCACCCGTCGCATACGAGCTGCAGACAATGGCCACCAGCCCTGCCGTCACGATCTTTTCCGGAGAAGTGTTCACCAGGCTCAGATCACGCCTCCGTTTAGACTGTGTAGCAGCGTAGCATGATTCGTTGGACCTTCAAACGAAACTCAGCTTTCAAGCAGCCAAGCAGCCTCAGCTCACCTGGCTTCCCAAATACGTAAGTCCACGTATCCACTTCCTCCACCTTTCCAGAGCTCCCGCGACTCTTCACAAGTTGACAGACTGCTACCCTTAGCGACCAAAAAACCTTGCCTCACGCAAACGGGTGTCTTTCCGAGAGCGGGGAGTCACTGCCGGCCCTTCTGCCTGGCAGGCGAACAACACCCCTCCTTCATGGTAAACAACCCAGACATGATGGATGAAAAGAAGCCGTGGTGGAAAATGAGAGGAGCCCCGATACTCCTCTTGGTCCAAAAACTATAGAGCAAGCCAAAGACACCCCTATAGATGCTAAACTGTCGTGGTTTTGCCTCCGCCTTCTCTTGTGCTCGGAGCACAACCCTGGAGGGTGAGCTCGTGAAGCAACCAGCCTAGGCTTGTTCGCTCGTGGCTTTCTGATGACATAATTGAGTGACCATTTGGATAGGCATCATGAGGTGCCCATTTGTCTGTTCCGCGGGGAGACTGGACTATGGTTTTTGTGAAGCTGTGTAGAGAAGCACCTCCTGCTCATTCTCTCGTGGCATTCAATCATGAGAAGGTGAAAAGCATTCTTCACCTCTCAGCGTTTACACGTTCAATGTGCATGGTCATCGAACGCAGCTAATATAGCAGAATAAAACGCCTATGGAATTAGCATCTATTCTGCTATGAATTGCACATGCTGCAGACGTGAATGAAGCCAGTACTAGACATGGGCCAGTATCGAAGACACTGGGATACAGAACTTGTGGTAGCATCAAAGAATGCAAACACACAAAGTTCAAGTGGAAAGATGTCGTAGACTCTCAATCCCCGAACCCCTCTCAGGAGGTAAAACCCCTGCAAAGCCTCACAACCCATTATGCCGCAGAGGCATTCAGGGTGGGTGGGTGGGGAATGAAAAATCTGCAGCTGCTGATTTGAGCCCTCAAGCTGCAGTTGCACAAACAAGTGCCAATTCAAGCTCCAAAGAGACCCTTCCCAACCAACCTACTCCTTTGCAAGCCCAGAACTAATCCCTTTCCACTGGCAGAGTTGCCACGAGACATACTTTGGCGAGCCAAGCTTCAAAGCAGGGCAGGCTGAAAGTTGCCACCAGCAAACACATCTTGCCACGGCCACGCCATTGCTGCGCTGGTCGCTTTGACATGGGCTGAGCTTGTGTGGTGTCACGGACACGGCTGTGCCAATCATGATCTAGAGCTCGCTGCTGTTGCGCGGCTTTGCTCCACAATTCTGAACTGGCAAGACAGAAGATGCAGTGAACTCAGCAAACACTGGCTGCAGTTTCAAGACAGAAGTATGTGATCAGAGGAAGCATTGGAGGTGTAGGGCAAGAAGTGGGCAATGCAGCCCAGGCTCGAATCGCCGATGTGGGCCGCTGGAAGATAAGGTTCACGGACACCTTCAGCTCCAAAACTTGGTGGAGGAAGCAGGTTCTGCATGAGTGGGGCGCGCGCAGTGCCCGTGCTGTTTGCCTCTGAACTGCTCCAGCGCAATGTTGGTGTCTTGGCAACCGGTCATCTGCAATATTTACGTCTGCTCTGGCGTCTGCTCTCGCATCCCTCAGAATCCGGCTGTGACGTTCGGAGGCTGACTTGGCACCGGTGTAGAGGGGACAGACGCGCCAGTCACCTCACGAAACCATGCTCAGATTTCAAAGTCTTTAGCAGGTCCAGATAGGTCCAGCCTGCAGCTGCACAAGGCCTTGGTCAGAGATACAAGTAACCCTGGCTCTGCTCTTTTCGCACTGCAGCCCCTTTCAGCGCTGCACCCGTTGCAATCGCGCGTGGACCCAACTCTCGCTGCAGCCCAGAGGTAAAGCCTTGCAAGCAGCTGCCACCACGAAACCTGCTTCCTTGTGGGTCATGGCTATGCAGGCACACAAAGCTTACCTCAAACCCAAGCCTTCCGCAGCGATCCGATCTGAAAGCTCTGCCAAGGGCACCAGGTTCGAGTAGGCAGAGAAATTTACCTGGCATCCAATCAAACTCCGTCACTGCCCTCCCTGGTGACTTGTTGAATCCATGCATTTGAAATTGAAAATTGCAAGCAAAACCGGCAAACCCCAGCCTGCAGTTGGCCAGCCACAACGCCGCTGCTCTGCAAGCGCCGTGCATCTCCTATGCCCAGAACGGCCCGCACATAGTCGATGGATACGCCTGCATGGAACATTGTCATGGAAGTTTTCGCAGGGCTTCGCGGGACACGCTGTCAATCACACGAGCCAAGCACATGTCAATCACACAAGCTAGTCACAAAGCACAGGTGCAACATTCCCTGTATCAACTTCACATGCCTCTGGAAAACCTTCGTCTAAAAAACCCACAACTGCTGGACGCGCATGGACGAAGTTCACTTGCTCACCTCCCTCTCGCTCAGGCAACAAAGGCACCACTGGCTGGCGCCTACTTCACCGATTGAAAGAGCCGCAGCGATGCTGCCACGCAGCACACCCAATTCCTGCGCTGCTTCGCCCCAAGCCTGACAAGATCAAGCACCATAAAGAGATTAAAGCCTCCTGAGATTGGAAGAGAAGAATTTGCTTCACACACCACGTGCCTGGAGTCGAGCCACACTCTGAAAGTCCACCACCAAGACAGACACGTAAGCTTCCACACGAGGCTGTGGAATATGCATGCCTCCAAAGCCGTGGGCGGCATTCATGTCTGCGCTTCTAGTGCTATCACTCACTCACTCACTCACTCACTCACTCACTCACTCACTCACAGAGCGCCAATTAAGGTGCGCAGCACACGTGAAACGTAAACAACTCACACAAAACGCAGGGGGAACTGAGGTATTACTGTGCATTTACGTGGTAAGCCCAAGGGCTGTTGGCTTGCTACCATTGTGAGGTTGTCTTCTGGAGGAGTGTCGGTGACTCCCTTGTGGTATTCAGAAAAGTTCTCTTCGGTTTGCGACTGCCTCATATACTTTGCGAATGGCTTCATTATCGAGTATCTGCGGAACGGCTTGATCAAGGGCATACACAGCATCTTTTAAAGTCTCGATTACCCATTCTGTCCTTGGTCTTCCGACTCGTCGACAGTGAATTGCTTGGGGGCGTTGGTGCCGGTTTCGAATATAACTTGTCTTAGCGGATCATACCGGCTTGCCCTGAGGATGTGGCCCATGAGTTTTAATTTTGCTTCCTTTCAAGTCACTGAGATCCTTTGCATGATATTCAGCTACTTTGTCCCAGACTTTTTGGTTAGCTTGTGTTCTGTCTATGTGTGTTGGTGCTATCTTGAGAAAACATCCAAGGTTTTTCATCTGGAGCGCATCCAACTTGGCTAGCTCGGCCTGGGTTTAGTGGATGGATTCTAAACCGTCTCTTGATAGTATTTTCCATACTCAACCATGGTCTAGAACCCGCAACGCATCTCGAGGTGGGACAAGTCTGAGTCGTCGCCTGGAACTGCCATTGCGGCATCCAAAGTCACGTTGCTCGCATCGCGCAAGGCTATACTGAACCTCATTCCACTCACCAGCCAATGGATGCAGCAACCAGTCAGTCTTCAACATGACTGCTTCCTCGTTCCAACGCCAGACATGTAGCATGTTTGGGCTCGGATCGGATGCTGGCGTGTCCAATCCAAAGTTGAAGTAGAGCGTGCCAGCAGCATTTAGATCAACGTTGGAGATGGAAACAATGGCTTCGCCAGCACTCTGAACCTACAAAAATCACACTTTCACACAAGCGTACATCCAAATGTTCATCATGCAAGCACATGCATGGGTGACGGATGGCCTGGCAATTCACTTGAGCGGATGGAGGGAGCGAGAAGCTTTGAAATCCGCTGCCGCATCGAAGAGCGTACCCCGCAGGTGCTAGAACCTCGCAATTTCTTTGATTCCGCAAAGGTCAGCGCCCACAAAGACGGCTGAAACCCGCCTGGATGTAGCTCTCAGCGGCTCTGCCCAGTAGAGCCAGAGCAGCAGCGCCAGGACTAAGGCTCACCTTGGTACTGCTGATTCAGTATGTGGCTTAAATACCGCTGCTCGAACAAGGCATCCTGGGAACAAGTCCGTAAGGCAGAATCACTTATGCAATCGAATGGCAGCTAGCTCCACAGCTTGCGTCAGCGCAACTGCTGCGTACCTGGTGCTGAAAAGGCTAGTCGCGGCGAGTAAAAGAGGGAGTAGAAGGGAAGCCGCGCGGTTTACATTTGGCACTGGTGTGATCTGCTTCATGCAGCCGGTTTGTCAAGGCGTCTGGGTCATGTTCAAGTGCAGCCGAACGACGTCACGCTAGCAGGCATAGCCCTCAGCACAACACTGCTTGCGGAAGCCCACATCGTAGCCTTGCAGAGCATCTGAAGCAATGACTGCCATTTTTTTCAGATGCATCCCAGCCTGGATGCCATCAAGCCTGTCTTGTTCGGGAACCAATGCGATCCAGTCTTTGCCTGAGAAGTCGAATCAGAAGTTGAACAGCATCTGGCAGAATTTGTCTGGAAAGCTTCTGGAAAGCTTCAGAACTGTGCCAGGGGCGTCCGGCATCCCAAGCTGCAGGTAGCTCCTGCCCGATTTCACATCACACGGCGTACATGGATCAGAGCTGTTCATACGCACAGGTCTGATGCTCACTGCGGCGATAAGTTTGTTTGAGTTCTTTCATCAGCTCCGCTTGCTCCCAACAACTTTGCTTACAAAAGATGTGTCGATGAGTTGACTTGGACACTTGCAATGCTCGCTCTCTGGCTGCGCTCCACTCGAAGGCCGAACCGCTCGCTGGTGGGTAACAGCTGCGCGGCTTGGCGACCGGTCCCATTGAAGTCCTGAAAGCTGCCACCGCCACAAACGCAAGGAGCCAAATACTCCCCTGGATGCCTCGGAGATGTTGGCACATGGCGTCGGCGAACATGGCGACACAATCACCTGTATTCGCCACGGTATCCCACACATAAGGAGAAAGCACGAGCTAAGAGAAGTGTGTATGTAGCAAGCTCATGTGCTTATCTGACCCAGACATCTGCTCAACGTCACCAGAATAGCAAAAAAAGAACAAGGCTGCTGAGCGCAATCAACACGGTAATCAGACAAGATGCCACCCCAGCAGGTGCGACGAGCCATAAGTTGCTCACAACCTGGTAGAAAGACCACATGGAAACCACTTTTGATCGAAAAGGACAGCAAAGGCCTGAATATTCCCTGAGACCTTGTCATTGGTCGCGTTTCTCATGAAGTCGATTGGCTCTGCAGTTGAAACAGACTTGGACGCTGGCTTGGATTTGCGTCCCAGGGGCCTCGTGTGCTTACAACGTAGCTAAGAAAGGTTTCATGCACTTCCAGGCCGTCCTGCTACAGTACAAGATATGCACCAACCCAGGAGCAATGGAAGGCACCCATATTTTGCAAAATGCAAACAAACATGCATTCAAACATCTGCGACGGCGGACAGCTCCATTCACATTTCTTTCAAAGCATGATCCTTTCCTTCCTCTCTGCAACACCTCATTAACACAAGGAAGTTCAGATCACCACTTGCAATTCAACTACAACAGCTCAGGTACCCTTCCCAAACGCTGCCTGCACACCCCTCCTACATGCTTGTTAACGGCGTGAGCCGGCGTGCTCGCATGTGCGATGCTTCCAGATTTCATGACGCCGCGCGGCGCCCCAGCAGCTACGAACTCTTGCCGCAGCCGTCGCAGTTATCCGGCTACGGTTCTTGTTGATTCCCCTTGCGCTATGCTGTTCATTCCTATCTAAATCCGGCTCGGGGGAGTTCCCTCGGCGTGTTTAGGGTTTTTGGAAACCACTGTCTCAAGTACACGTCTCGGCCACTTCTTGCATGCCATCGAGATTGAGGGGGGCCTGCTCTAGAATTAGAATGAAACCAAAAACAAAAAATGAAATGAATCTTGGAAAGTTGCCCTATCTCAAAGAGTTCCATGTTTAATCTTGTGTTTTGGTTTTGGTGTGTTTGCCTGTTTATTATGCTTGTATTGTGTTGTTTGGTTGTGTTGCTTTGTTCTTTTGCTTTTGGTTTTTGGGTTGGGGCACTTTGGAGCCCTAAGCCTGAAAGCGCCTAATCCTTTCTTGATGTGCAAAAAACGTGTGTCTTAATCAAAAAAGGGACCTTCTCCATAAGGAGACAACTCAAGCTCCGGTGGGTTTTATTGAATGTCTATTGGATCCAAAGAAACACCTGCTAGGAACTGGAGCTTCGACTCCTCTCTAGTCAATTGCATCTCTCGTGTATCTTTATTGTGGGGACGAAATAATTCTGTTCCGTCCGTAAGAACAGAGGTTTGGTTCTCCTGGTGGCCTAATTATGAAGTTGATTGTTTTCGGCTGTATATAATACTTGCAATCCATACTTTATGAAAAATCCATGGGAACATCATTGGCTACCATGTCGGTGAACCTCCTACTCCCTATCTCCGTTTGCAAGGGATCTGGATACTACACGTGCCTCAATTTGAGGACAAAGTCTCAAATCCTTGGCCCTGGATTTTCACGAATTAAAAACCATACTAATTTCGTTACGAACTCACAGGAGAATTCTTTGATTATGGGCTTCTCTTATTCTCTTACAAGAATCCCTTATTGAATCTGCTTCATATTGAAAGGAAGTCGTAAATCCTGAGCTTCTTGTTTTCGGCTTACGAAACCTCTCATTACATTGACTGGAATAAACCCCCTAAAGAATGTAAAAATGGAATTCCCAAACCCAGTTCTCTTGTTATTCACCATATGAAACCCTTACTACATGTGGTGCGAATGCTGAACAGAAATTCTTATGCCCTGGGCTCCTGTTGTTCGACCTGTTTTCGACATATAGATCCAACACTAAATGTGTTTCTAACTTAAAGAGGAATTTGCACGGTCTCTCCAATTTCAACAGGAACTAGCAACTATTCAGAACATCACATCTATTGGAGACCATGAGAATATTACAAATGAGGGTGGACAGAAAAAAGCCAAAGACTCGAGAATTCATATTTAAACTTACAGCGGATTTAGTAACGAACTCATACATAGAAAAATGAGGGGAACAGAAGACCAAGGCTCGAGAATTCCTGTATATGTTTGTAACATATGTAACCATTATAGACGACATTCACGATAAGATACCCTTTCCTCAAGGCATGTGCACAGCCATGATAGGCCTGCTCCTTGGCATCAGTCGTGCCATACGTCAGAAGTATGGACCCGCAAGAGTCGCTAATAGTCAAGCTAATGATGATAGTAATAACAACAACTGCAATAGTATCGCTGATGATCGTGATGACACGAGTAATGATAACAATACAATAATGACCGTTGTACTAATAGTAATAAGTAGTCATTATTTTATTTAATAAGCTAGTACCAATAACAGTGATAACGATAATAATAGGAGTAACACTGGTGAGGGACAAATGCCAAGCATTGCTGAGCAATCTGCTTGGGCTGATTCCGTGAGTAATGAAAACTTCCAGACAGTAGTCTTACATGTTCCTGACTTGGGGGCCTCCACAACAGTCCCCTCCGCTGTTTTACCACACAAGTTACTCTTAACAGACATGATAAGAACAGCGCCGATGTTCGAAAACCTTAAAAGGGCTGCGTTCGGGAACTCCCCCCGAACCCTGAATCAATCTCTTTTATGCAAATCACCCACCCTCTGCAAACCTGCGAAACCTTTCTGCGAAACCTTCCACATCCATCCACGACCCCAAAGCGTGCCTCCAGTGTGGATGTGTATGTATATATATATATATCTATATCACACAGCGGCTTCTGCAAACTTGCCATGAATCTTATTGCTTCCATAAAGCTTGCTCTGCTCTTCTTGGACGCCGTGGTGTGACGCTTGAAGGAGGCTTCGGAAACTGGGTGGAGATGCTCTTGTTTGGTGCCTGTCTCGGAAATGGCCTTCCGCCTTCCGTTTTTCTACCTCCAAACTTCGACAAATTCCACGCTGCAAATTTGCAACCTTCATCTCCGAACGCCTGTTGCCCAATAGCATTTCCAGGAATGGCCATGTTCGTATTGCCAACTGCATGCAACTATCTACTACAGTGGAAAATGCAGCTCATTTGTTGACAACGGTCTCATGCCATGGTGTCCACTGTTGTTTCGGGCTTGCCTGTTTGGTATCAACTTGTTCACGTGCGTTTTTCTGCATCTTGGAAAGTCCTGTCTTAGATTCTCCTCAATTTCCCGGTTGACAAGATTTTTCGCACGCTCCTTGCCGAGCTTATCTTCTTCCATCTTTTTTCGTCCTATTCGTCCTACATCTTCATGTGCGCCGCTGATCAAAGGTAAGGTTCCAGCCCCAACCTGCTCTTCCATGTCGAAGGGTGACAATAAGGCAGAGGAAAACCAGCTGTCCTGTTGACGCACTTTGACAAAGTTGACCAAACACCACACATCTTGCCGTCCTGGATAAGCATGCTTGCAGGCACCAGCCCATCGTTGGTGTTGAGAGGCAAAGACCTGATGTCTGACGCGGTCTTCACTATGGTCCGCCAAAGTTAATAACAAAAAAAACGATATGCACAACTGGGCCATCCAGTTTGAGCCCATAACCAGTCGCCACGAAAGGCTTGAAAGTTGAAGAATCTCCTGTCACCAACCGGCCCTTGCAAGAAGCTGTCTGACATGAACCCGCACTCGTCCAAAGATCTGGGAGACTGCCCTGCCTGCTCACTTCAGAACCCGTGGGCTGCTCAATCCTGGCAGTCCACATGAGACATTGCTCAGCACTGCAAAGCCTTTTCGAGTCTCTGTCCGTCGACGGAGGCGAGCATTGAGTTGGAGCGAGAAGGTGGCCTCAGGAAGCTCGCAGCAACGCAGCCATATGCAGCCAGATGCAGCCAGGCTGTTGGTACATTGCAAAGGAGCTGGCACCAGGCGTCATAGCATTCCCTACCTTGGGCAATTCTTGCTTTATCTGCATGTACCACACAAGGCCCATCATCACGAAGCGCGTCGCAGCGGCAGTGAGTTCCAGAGTGTTCGGAGGCTTGGCCAGCGCACTCGACGGGAAATCGAGCCTTCAGATACTTGCACATCTAACAGCTTTGCATCACACACAGCTGCTCAAATTCGCAATTCGCGAAGGCGAAGCATCCAGTTGGAGCGGAGATCGCTCCAAAACATTAGCTACCAGTATGGCAACTCAGCTCAAGCCCACATCTCCAGCTCCAATCAACATGGCCAGTGAAGTACCTGTACAGCTGGCACCCTGAAGTTGGAGTGAAACGCAGAAGTGAAACGCTTCATCCTACCCTCTCCCCCGACAAGGCAAAGCAGATGTGCCAAATCAGAGACATCATTGCAAGGTTCGAGATCATTTTGCATATCAAAATGTCTCATGGTGATGACGCCCATATGCCAGTCCATGCTCACGATGCTTGCCAATTGTCAAGCAGAACAAGACACCACTGCAGCTCCAGTAAATCCACGCAAAGGCCAAGGCAGAGATGGGCAGAGATGCCACGGCGATGTTCACAGAAACCCTTGCTGTGGCGGCACTTGGATGAGGTCAGAAGCCATACACCACGTGCCGCATTGGCATCATCTTCACCAGGATAGACAAGGCCAAAATCATCCCGCTTGCTCGTTCGTCTAGGCATGCTCTGGCCAGAACTCGCAGATGGCTCGCAACTCGAAGACTCGCAGCAACAAGGTTGTCCAGTACTGATCTAGCCTTGATCCAGCTGGAAGCTTCAACCAAGCTTCAGCCGTCCTTATGGTCGAGACTAATCGCTGAGGCTCAGAAAGCAATCAGCTTCAAGCTGAGCCGCTAAAGATCGACATGTGCCCACTGGAGGCAGTCATGGAGACAAACTCGCCTGGGCAGTGGGCATGACATCATGAATGCAAAGGGATGCAAGGGGATCGCTTCACATGCCGAGGTGCTGTCCCGTCGCAGCTCCTGCGCGGCAAATTGTAGAGCCCGACTGTCGCTGGCAACTGCAACGCGAACCTTGGCAAGAAAGGTCTCAACATGTCCCAACACGTCCAACGCCACAGATCAAAGGCAGAACCATGGAAAAAGCTTTGAAAAATCTCGGGGTTGGCAACCAGCTCGCGATCTGATCTGAGTTCTTCTGTAGCGAACTGCAAGGCGGAGCCTTGTCATCCAAATTTGTCAAGAAATGCACTCCTTGCGCTCTGGGGTTTAGACGGCTCTACAATCTACGGCTGCCGCTGCCTCTGCCAGCAACAACCACCAGCATATCATCACGACAGCTCAGCAGCGATGGGGACACAAAGCGCACAGCACGAAGGTCTTGTGCTAAGGCGGCAGAAACAACCTGAAGAGCAGCACAGGCACGAATCGTAATCCAAACTTGGGTGCGGAATCCTGCAACGATATACTGCCTCTGCATCTTTCTGCATTGGCTCTCCAACACCTTGTGAACGGCTTGCACCACCAGTTTGCCAAGCTTCGTAAACGACTACGGCTCTGACTTTCCAAAGCCCGCCAATCGATGCTGACTGCTGCGAGAACCACGTCGCGGTCAATTTGCAACATGGGGGCCTCAGCGCAAGGGAAATAATGTGCACACTCTCAAATAACTGCTTCATTATTCGATCCTCTCAAATTGGAGCCAAGGCTTAGCATATCGATCAAACGTGAAAGCAAGGCCCAGGCTGAGAAGAGATGCTTCCAGTTGTAGGACCACCACCTCTCTGCATTCTCTGCTCTCCATCCATGGATCAAAGTTGACGCCAAAGCGACTGGCCTTCGAGCTGCAAGCCTTAGCAGCTCCTGATCATGCCGCAGGCCGCACTCCGCATATTGCAGGGCAAGACCATCTTGCTGGACAGCTGTGCCAACAACCTGACAACCAAACGCTGCCTCGTTCGCCTTTTCTAGACATGGATATCTGGCAAGAGTCTATGTCATCAACGGCAGCCTCACGGCAGCCGCGCAGCGGCAGCGAGGCAAAGCGCAGAGCTGTGCCGTTGGCCGCGACTGCGACAAGAACAGTGCTGCGGTCTGCCTGCAGTTTTTGAGTCATTGCCAACTACGCTCAGAAGGTCTCAGCTACTTGCCACACATCTCAGATCCATGCTGTCTTGGCAACAGGCTTCATGCTACGGGTTAGGTGCGGTGGCTTTTAATCACATAAGAAAATCTGGCCCCGCCATCATGTTCCAGGGCAGAGCCCGCGTCTAGAGCTTTGATCTCCCTCTGGCACTGCCTCCAACCCCAGCCCGACAGCATCATCGGACCTCCGTTTCTGTAAGCGGCCCTCCACATCCCACCCCGAAAGCAGGCTCAAATTTGCATGCGTAGCGACTTTTCACTAGTCCTAAGGCTGAGAAAAATCTAGACTCGTTGGGTACAGGCTTGAGAGCAGAGCGGACGAAAGCTACGAGTCTATGCAGGGTGAAGACTCACAGCAACGCCAACCACACTTTACTGCCTCTGCAAGCGCAATCGATTGTCCTGATACTGAAATGCATCCATTCGGTCGCCCTGCCTAATCATGAATTGTCAGTGGACTAGAAACCATACGTGACTTGGGAACATTGATCGAAGGAAGTTGCGTGACGGATCAAAAGCTCCAGCTGGGATTTTTGGATGATGGAGGCCTGTTGTCAGAGTCTCATCAGGCAAACAAGGAGATCCCAAATTCCACCAGGATGACTTTGTAGAATATTCATCATTTGTCCATCACTTGGGTACACAAACGGTAACAGAGAAAAGTTGTAAATTCTGGAAGCCTGAGCTTTGGTTGGATTGCACTTGTTCCAACTTCCAATCTTGGAAGCCTTATCAAATATGATTCCGCACAGGGACCCTGGTAAAGTATCGTCGCATAATGAGCCCTTACTCCCTTGTAATACCCCCTAATCATCCCTAATCCCTCATTCAGCATCCGGCGGCTCATTTCAACGCAATTCCGGGAGGGGGGTCCTGAGGTCAGGGAACGAGTGACCCACCCAACCCCCAGCGCAAGCCTCTAACCTCCGAAATATCAGATGATGTGGATGCAAAAATTGTCCATAGCCGTGGAGACTATGTTGGTACACAAGAACTCTCGCAAAAACCAATCAGCTGGCTTGCGTGATCGAAGAATGTCGGTGTGTTGATGGGTTCCTGGGTTTATGATGGTCTAATGCAGGCCTTATGCCTTATGCAGGTTATGTCGAATTTGGGTGCTGGTTATCAAGTCAAAGCATACATGATTGCTTCATGAAGACAATCTTGCAGGCTTTTTCATGGCTGTAAGAGGCCTTTTGATGGCGGTGGCGATGAATATGTGGGGTTTCGGCCACTTGGAGTGTGGTCTAGTCTAAGCGGCCCCAACTTGTGCTGTTGATGCTGGCGTACAGTGCGCGTGCAAGCCCTTGTGCCGCCCTCAGAGCGAGAAAATTTACCTGGGCCTTTGAAGCTTCTCCCCAGCATGTGGAAGGATTCTTCAAGTAAGAAAATTCGTTCCACATTTCATAGGAAGCCATCATGAGAATGGACTTGAAAACTAGCCCCAAGGCCTTTGTTGGGCCCGAGCTGAGCAAAAGTTTGGTCCCAAGAGAAGGCCAGGGGACACAGATGGTTTTTAATGATGCTGATGATGCTTGGCCGAGGGGCCCAGCATCACAGCACCATCAAGGGGCCTGTTTCTCCTTATCAAGTCACTACGGCAACTCTACTTGTACTACTACTACTACTACTACTACTCCTACTACTACTACTACTACTACTTCTGCTACTACTACTAGCCGCCCCCCCCCCCTAGGCGCTACCTTTTACTTAAATCTAAATATAAATTCCCCGAGGA